GAGGGAGGCTCTCCCACCCACCGTGTTGCACGTCTCCGTCAGAGAACGAGGGAGGCTCTCCCACCCACCGTGTTGCACGTGTCCCAAAGCTTTCAGCTTTTCTCTCCGGCCAGGAATGCCTCTCATTCTAATTGTGGTGAAATATATACATAATAAGACAGACACCATGCCATTAAGTTCCCTGTGTGGACAATTTAGCTGCGAGGATGACGTTCTTCAAGCTGAGTGGTCATTCTCCATGTCATTTCCACATCTCCCATCCCCGGGGAGCGTAGCCTCCGCACCCCTTACCACCGGCTCCTTAACCCCGAGAGCTGAGCACAAACGGATCCGTTCCATTCAGACTGAGGTTGGAGTGTCCATGGGAGTTCCTCTCCAGGGTCATGTGAGTGTTAAAACTGTTTCTTAGAAAGGGCAGTTTGAGTGATAAGAATTGTATGAGCCCCCAATAAAATGATTTAAATTAAAAAGAGAGAGCAGCTTGGGTTGAATTTCAGGTGCTTTGGACCTTCGAAGAAGCCCCTAGCCGGTACAAATGGTTCACAAGCTTGACTGTTAACTAAAAAGGCTGGAAGTTCAGGTGATCCACTTCTCAAAGGAGCAGCCACTGAAAACCTCTTTTTAAAAACCTCCCTGCCGTCGAGTGGATTCCAACTGATAGCCTCCTACAGAACGGAGTAGAACTGCCCCTGCAGGTTCCTGAGGCTGGAACTCTTGACAGGAAGTAGAGAACTTCATTGTTCTCCCATTGATTTAGGAGAGGGTTGCACAATCAGTTATTGTCATTGTGGTTAGTATAATTGCACACCTGTAAAAAAAAGTTAATTCAGAACAGTTGTGTGTAGAAATATTTACAAACAAACAAACAAACAAACAAACAAACAAACAAAAAAGAGCAGCTGCTGAAGGTGGTTCTGTAGAACTGAAAACCAGGTTTCGAACCGCTGATCTCGTGGTTAGTAGAACCCATGACACCATCAGGGCTTCCAGCTTGAAGAACCGTGGAGCACCATTCTACTCAGACACGTGGTGTCTCAAGCCTTCTGAATGTGGACCTCCGAGGAGCAGCACTGGGGGGTGGGGGTGGGGCCCCTCCCCCGGATCTTACGAGATGCCCTATGGGGCTCCCTGTGCTGGCTCTGCTCAAGACAGGGCTGCTGTGTCGAAACAGCCAGTCTTTGCTCTTTTCTTTTATTCTCCTTTGCTTTTTGCTGAACCCTCATATGGCCACATGTTTAAAGGCCAGGTTTAATCGTCACATGTCTCTATATGGCCAAGTAAAAATGGGTGCATTATTGAACAATTTATTTGTCCATTGAGTTACCCTTCCTGGTGATGTATAAGGCTGCTCTGAGTCCGAATCCATGCAATGGCAGTGCGTTTGTGTGTGTCTCTTTCCCGATGTGATTTATCTGCATTTAGGTGGACCAGCTGTGAGTAGTGGCACGACCTGTCCATTTTATTTAAGAGCAACTTTGAGATCTAATCCACGTACTACAAAATTCATCCTTTTATTGTATGTAAATAAGTACTCTTTGATATCAACACAGTGTATTGACTGTGAACATGGGTATCAGAGATGGGAGTCAGTCACTGTATCAAATTCCAGAACCTTATCACTACAGAAAGAAGCCCCACCCACCTTAGCACCCATCCCTCCGCCCTCTCCTTCTCTTTACCCACATATACACAAAATCACGTCATTTGTAAATACAGATAGCTTTACTTCTTTCTTTCCAAACTGATGCTCTTATTTTATTTTTTCCAAATACAATAGAAGTGATAAGAGGAGATCTCCTAGTCTTGTTCCACGTCTTAGGGGCATGGGGAGCATCTAATTGTTCACCACTGCACCTGACGTCACATTTCTTCCGCTGTGTCTGGATTTGATTTGCTAGGGTTTCGTTGAGGAGTTTGCCTCTGTGTTCATACAGGATTTGGGCTACACTCGTCTCTACTGGGACGTCTTGGTCTGGTTGGGTTTCATGGTGAGGCTGGCCGAGTGCGTTGTGAAGTGCGCGTGCTCCTTCTGAAGCCATCTGGACCTAGGCTTTTTATGTGCGGGAACTTTTAGAAATCACAAACCCAGTCTCTTTACTCGTTATAGCTGTCCTCTGTTGAAAGACAAACGAAAATTGATGAGCAAGTCCACTAGAGT